GTGTGTGTGTGTGTGTGTGTGTGGCCAGCTCAGCCCACCAGGGGGCGGGGCTGGCTGGCATGTGGCGCTGGGGGATCGAACCAAGGTCCCTGTGCTTTGCCAAGCTTGTTTCAAGTAGGTGCTTTAGACCACTGAGCCATCTCTCCAGCCCCCCACGGCCCTTTTTGGCACGACCGTTGTTCCTTCTTTTTTTCGTCATCTTGGAAAGGAGGACCCGAAAGAGCTCATTTCCCTTTCTTGATATTCTCCTCTAATACTTTCTATGCGGAACCACTGTCTAGCCTAATTCCAGCTCTTGATACAGTAGGATTCAAACTAAAGATGATTCTACTCTTAGTTGGTAAGAATTTGGGGGAAAGGAAACAAAATAAATTTGAGAAAGGAAAGCGTCGATGGTTAAATGCACAAGAGTCTAAGGGGAATGAATCCAAGGCTTCTGAAGAAGGCAACAAGGACATGATTCATCAGTGCTTAAAATATCCCAACCTCCGCCTCATTTATTTCAAATGCTGATAGCATTAGTGACCCAGAAACACATGGGGAAGAGCCAGAAACACATGGGGAAGAGCCTTATTATTCTAATGTTCTTCTTCGGAAGTCTCTTTTCTATTGTCTCATGTCCTGGAACAGCTCTGTGGCTTCCACATGATCTCTCTCTCTCTCTCTCTCTCTCTCTCTCTCTCTCTCTCTCTCTCTCTCTCTCTCTCTTTCTCTTTTTGTTTATGTATTTACTTACTTGTTGAGATAGGGTCTTGCTATGTATTTCAGGCTGGCCTTGACCTTACTATGGAGTCCAGGCTGTTGTTGAATTCACGACAATCCTCCTGACTCAGCCTCCCAAGTGCTGGAATTACAGGCGTGTACCACCACACCTGGCAATCATGTTCCTTTTAATCCACCCCTGAGAAAGCCCTGCAGGATCACTTAAACTGAAATAGGAGAGAACAGGCCCCGTGAAGGTGGCCTGTCTGCAACACACCAATAGACCTTTCTGTCCCCTGGATTCTTGGATTTCCCAGTAAGACACTGACAGTAGATCAAAGAACAGGAGAGAGAAGTTATTCCCCTGGCTCCCTCTGTGGCTACACCCTCTCCTAAGGCTACTTCTTGTAGACCCTCTCAGTCCTTTAGTTTCAGTTAACCTTTCCTTTCTCTTCAGTAGAGGTTACAGCATTGTTTATACTCAGTCCTGAGGCGTATTGCATCACCATTTCGTGCCTGTCAAAATCTTGTGCACACTTTACTTACTAAACACTCCCTTTATCAGACTCACCTCAGTTATCTCAGATACTACTTTCTGTCTTCTTCTGGGATCTTAATATAGAGAATGAGAGATGGGGGTGGGGATTATAGTTAAGAAAGAAGAAAATCGCTATGATGAGCACTTAGTCATAGAAACATGGGTTTGAAGGCCAGAGAACTATGTGATCAATTTTTTTTTTTTTTTTTGGTGGAACCGGGGATTGAACAAAGGCCCTTGCGTTTGCCAGGTAAGCGCTTATTCCACTGAGCCATCTTCCTGGCCCCCAATGATCAAATTATTTAACTTCCCTAAGTACTAGTTTCCTTAGGCCTACTACACAAATAATATCTGAAGATCAGAGTTGTGAAAATGAGATACCGAACACAAAAGCAAGAGCACAGCGCCTGGCATGTAGCCGTGCTCAGGGCTGAGCTCTGTGGTATGAGCACTACACGCCCAGCACTGTCCTGAGTGTATCGTACGTTCCTGAATTTAGTACATAGAGAAAGCTCACAACAAGATGGTGCTGCAGAGAAATTTTTCCCTGTGTTTGGAACATATATGTTTCTATCTATGCATCACTTTAGCATCTGCTGTGTATCTATTTTGGCTGGAAGCTGATCCCTGGGTGCATAACCTGGGCCTGTAAGGAAGCTTGTATATTTAATTTCTGGGAGAGGAGCAAGCTGGAAAAGACATAAAGACTAAGTTAAGAATGGGCTCCATGTGCAGCTACTTTGAGCCTCCATACTCAAAACTGTAGAAGGGGATCTTGGAGGATGAGTGAGCTGTGGGGCAGCATCTTCTCTTTCTTCATTCTCCTCTAAGTCTGATAAAGTCCTACACCTCAGAGGGATGCTGGGCCCCCTTGTTCCTCAGTTCCAGGTAATCTGCTTTTTTGTGTTTGTCCTTAGCAGTATTTTCTTCTTTTTTTTTCTTAGCAGGTTTTTTTGTTTTTTTTTTAAGTTTATTTATTGTGTGTGTGTGTGTGTGTGTGTGTGTGTGTGTGGCCAGCTCAGCCCACCAGGGGGCGGGGCTGGCTGGCATGTGGTGCTGGGGGATCGAACCACGGTCCCTGTGCTTTGCCAAGCTTGTTCCAAGTAGGTGCTTTAGACCACTGAGCCATCTCGCCAGCCCCATTCTTAGCAGTTTTTAAGGAAAGCACCACACTGCAAGGATTATTCAAACTGGAAGGCAATTGGTAGGTCCAGCAGAAAGGAGCCATCTAAAGGACAAGTACCACCCTACCATTTACCTTGTTGTCCGCATAATCCCTTAGCCTAAGGCAGACAGAGCTGGAGCTCAAGTAGTGTCCTGGAGATCAGTGGGGACTGTGAAAGCCCAGGAGCTTGCTGGAAACAGCTCCAGGAAGCCCGAAGCTCTCAGCCTGCTGGGCACATGGGGGGCGGGGTACAGAAAGGAATCTAGGAATGGGGTGCAGGGGTTGGTAGAGGAAACATATGGATCCCTGGGGTCTACTTTTGTTTTTGGTGGAACCAGGGATTGAACTCAGGCCCTTGTGCTTGCCAGGCAAGTGCTTATTCTACTGAGCCCCTGGTGTCTGTTTTAAAACCTATTTCCTTTTAAATTCTGTCAGGGCTGCTTCACTTTCTCAGCTTCTGTGGGGAAGGTGGGAGGAGGTTGCTGCACTTCCAGAAGGCTTTCTCATCTGGGGATGTGGACTGCGATGCACAAAACGCATGGGAGCCTTGAGTCTAGAGCACCACAGTGCACCCAGGGCACACCCTTGCTGTTCTTCATTCTGTCACTCCTTCTACCTTTCTACCAGGCAGCTTCTAGGCAACTGGGAAAAATGAAACACAATGTGGCTGAAGGGGAGGAGTCAGATGGGCACTTTATTGCGTGTCGTAGCAAAAACTGGACAAGAGGCAAACTGGAGTGATGGTCATTGTGTCAGTTCTCCAATGAGCAGGCAGTCAAACAACATCATTTTCCCAATCCAAGTGAGAAATGGGATTTCACATAGGTAAAAGCTGGAGTCTAGGCGATAGACAGGATGCCTAATGACTGTCGTGGTCCTAGTGCAGAAATGTCTGAGGGCCAAACCCACTTGGCAGGTGTCCCTTGTGGGTAGGGAGCGTTCCTCCTGAGCAGATAGATCCAGCTGAGAAATCAGGCGTCTCGCTTAGGCCCACAAGGCGATGAAGGCCATGAAGGTGAAGCCAGCAGCTACACAGCCCCATTTAGCCAGCGGGGCTTCACAGCTACTTAGCTCACGGGGCAGAATTTCTAGAAATGTCACATACAGGAATGTGCCAGCTGCAAGACCCTCTAAGATGGCCTGGGCCACGCCTTTCCAACCTTCAGAGTCCCCGGCAGCTATGGTCATCCCTAGGGCGAGGCCCAAGGGGGACATGAAAGCTAATGACAGTATTGAGGATATGGCCCACCGAGATCCAGTGCCTATCTTTACCAGCCGCAGTGCCACACCAAACACTACGAGCCCCTTATGAGCCAGGACAGCAAGACAGAGCTGTACGGTAGCTGCTATGGTTGGCTGGAGCCCCACAGCGAGCCCCTCAAACACTGAATGAAAGGAGAGTGACAGCAAGAGCACCAAGGCTCGAAAGGGACTCTGCTTAGGCGAGCGCAGTGACTCATGGCTGTGGAAATCAAAGACAGGATTCCCACCCCACTCCTCCTGCACTGCTGCTTGTCCAGCAGCCCCAGGACAGCACTGCAGGGCCAGAGACTCCAAAAGGAAGACAAGAAAAAAGCCCAGGGAGATGATGAGTTCTCCATACGGATACTCCACCTAGGGACAGAAGGAAGAGCTGTGAGACAGGAGAAAATGGAAGGCAGAGCGCTGGGAGGCTGTGGGATTGGAGACTGAAGGGAATGGGACAGACGTTGCAACACCATAAAACAGGCTGGGGTGGGAAACTGGAAGGCACCGGGGAGTGAGAATGCCAGAGCGGGAAGGGACACAGCATCCATAGGGCTAGAAATAGGGATGAGAGCTGTGGGAAGACTGTCAGAGGGTACAGGGACAGAAGGTCGTGGTGAGGCGGGGGTTTTTCTGGGGTCCACAATATGAAAAGACCAGGTTGGCACAAGCTTTCCTCTATACTGTTTGAACTGGGAGCAGAAGGAACTCCTGGTATTTCTCACATACCCCTTTCAAAAGGGTCTGGCTATGAGAGAATCTGGTTACCCTCCAGATAGAGGCTGGCGGGGAATACTTACAAAAGCTGATCCAGCGTCACTAGAATTTCCCTTGCTTCCTGTTCTGTTCTAGGGAGACAGACACCAACATTAGTCAGGAGACAACAGCTCAACTTCCCGTCCTGTCCCTTCAGCAGCGCTACTTTCCTCAGCGCCCAGCCTGACCTGCTTTCACCACTCACACAGCACAGCGCTGTTATCTTCCCTGTTGCCCCATCCTTCTTCTTGGTCCCACCATTTCCCCCTTGCTTCCCTTGGTTCTGTTTATCCTTCAGCCCTCACAGCCCTGCAGCTTAGCACCTGCTGCTCACCTGTCCCAGGAACTTCTCCATCTCTGACTCAATTCCCTCCAGGGCTTCAGCAGTCATATGCATGAGACCTGCTCCCAGGAAAACACCAGCAGAGGTACAGCCCAGAAGGCTGAGGATTCTCCGGTGGCGACCTAATAAAGAGTAGAAATGGGGGCTGGTGAGATGGCTCAGTGGTCTAAAGCACCTACTTAGAACAAGCTTAGCAAAGCACAGAGACCGAGGTTCAATGCCCCAGCACCACATGCCAGCCAGCCCCGCCCCCTGGTGGGCTGAGCTGGCCACACACACACACACACACACACACACACAAAGAGTAGAAATGACAATCTGGCGGGTACTGAGGAGATAAAAAATGACTGCAGAGCAAGGGGCAGCACCCAATATCTTGAGCTTCAGGATGGTCAGAGATTTGGAGCAAGGAATCAGGAATCAAGTTGGGTCTGGATGAGACTCAGGTTAAGGCACGAAGATGGGGTGGGGCTCTACCTGTAGCTGCATCAATCTTGAACCATTTGAAGCAGATGGGACTCAGGCCACAGACAAGGGTGAGAGCGAGCAAGGCAAACAGGCAGCCCAGTTTTACTCCAATTAGTGAATCCATCTCTGGGCTGCAGGAGAAGCAGAGGCCTCAGAATGACAAACAGAACTCAAATGGAGTCCTCAGTGAGCAGAGCTGTAGTGTCCCCACTTCTCCGAGTTTCAGGAGGCCTGATATCCTCCCGCTCTGTGCTGCTCCGGTGGAGCAGCATTGCGTAGCTGACAGCTGACTGGTGCCCTGCCCCGGCTACCCTCCTCCCCCTACCTGGAGGCCCTCCCCTAGCTCACGCCTTGCCCCTTGAGCTCCTAAACCAGAAACTCCAGACTTCCTGCCAGGCACAGCTCAGGGCTGCCTCCTCTTCCATGCCTTGCCTAATCCCAGAGTTTTGGATAATCTAGTTCATGCCTAGATTGAACATTTTGGGTTGGTCTAGCCCCAACTGGGAGAGTCTATGGTACTTACCAACTAATTTGTATGGGGGACGGTGTGGTCCTGCCTCACTCAGGATACTTGACCAAAGCCTGCCATGTCCTCCGCTCCATCCCAAGTCTTACAGGTGGCTATGCTGATACCTGAACCAACCTCTTTTAGAGGCGATTTGGGGCCATCTGGCATAAAGAGGTGGGGCTGAGAAGTGATGCAGCTGCCACTGCCACTCTGTGGGAACCAGTGAGTGAAGGGACTCCCCTTTCCTGTATCTCCAGAAAAATAACTCCAGGCATGGAAAAGTTCAGTGTGAGGTAGAGATTCTTAGTGTTGCAACATAGATACTACCGCTTTTGGCCGTCTGTAACTGAGCCTCCATAATAACAGGGATTTTTCCTCTCCTAAGAGGTTTGTGCCACCCTACCACCTAAAAGTTCAAACAAAACAAACAAAAACAAAAGCAACAGGTAGAACATATTTCCTCTTTTTTTGTGCGTGGGAGGGATTGAACTCAGGCCCTTGTGCTTGCTGGGGAAGCATTTCTTCCACTGAGCCATCTCCCCAGCCCCCATTTCCTCTTCATATAGAGGAAATACGTGTAACTCCCAGCCTGCTAGATGTCAGACATGCTGAATTTGGGTTGCCCAAAATTGAAGAATAAAATTGAAGAATAAATTTTAAGGAGCTATTGAGTTTAAGAGTAGGAAATATTTAGAGGAGTGTGGGGGGGAAGAGACAGAGAGAGCAAGAGCGAGACAGAGAGAGCGAGTGAGTGTGAGAGAGAGAGAGACCCAAAATGAGTTGTCCATGGGTCCACTTAAAGAAAAAGTCTTACAGAGGAAAAAAAAAAAACAAAACAAAAACCGGCAGCAAATACAAAGTCACCAGGTGGACACAGTGTGGGCCAAAACTATGATCAAATAAGATTACAGATACAGTCACTTAGGTAATATTGATGCAAGAGAAAAGCAAGTCATATAATAAGTGTATGTAGTAAGAACAGAGACCTTTAGAAAGGGATAGACTAGGGGCTCTTGGTCATCCACCAGGGTGACTGTCTTCCATCCAGAGTAAGTGCTACGCCTGACCCCCTGGGGAGGTCTGCAGGCCTGCTCATCTCTGAGGCCTGGTTCCAGCAGATGGGCCTCCAGCCACCATTATAATGTTTTCATCCTCTACACTGACTCCCTCAAGGACCTAGCCCCGTCTGGCTGCCTATAATATTTTAGCTGTCCATAATACCCTGATTGAGGTGACCTGTGTTCCTGTTGCCTTTCTTATAATTATCAATTGCTAACTTTGTTATTTTTGTCACACAGGGAGATTTCCAAAACTGTAAATCGCTTAATGGCCTGCCAGATATTCACTGGTGCCCATAGTCTGAAACTTCTCATTTTTTATGACCTTGTGCAACTTTTAGTTTCCCCTGGACTCTTCCTTCAGGCCCCTCCCCTATATAACTTAGCTACACTTGCTGGGGCTACAGCTACGTGAAATGAGTCCCAGCCTTCTGGGTGCACTTTCTTTCTTTTTTTTTTTTTTTGGTGGAACTAGGGATTGAACTTAGACTCTTGTGCTTGCCAGGGAAGCGCTTATTCTACCGAGCCATCTCCTCGGCTCCTTGGTGTACTATCTTGATGAAACTTCTCTACTTCAAGGACTGGCATTCAATGACTGACTGGCTGTTACCCACCATGCTCAGGAATCTGACTTGGTGTTTAGTAACGTTTCCTGATATGGCAGAGGTGCTTTGAGTTTGAAGATGAAGAATATTGTTCTAGCCATGAAACAGTAAGGTCAAGGAGAAAACCGAAATGAACTCAACAGAAGGATCCTGCCTGGATACAAGGAATGGAGATGGACAACTTAGTGCTGATGTAACTAACACTGCAAAATAAAACTTTACAAGTTAGTTTTAGTTTTTTGTTTTTTTTTTCCAGAAATTTAGGGGCCGGGGAGATGGCTTAGTAGCGCAAGGGCCTGAGTTCAATCCCCAGTTCTTTCTTTCTTTCTTTCTTTCTTTCTTTCTTTCTTTCTTTCTTTCTTT